TCCGCTAAAGGAAAGCAATGCGAGCAAATTTTGTAGAGATTCTGCACCCTAGAAATGTTCTTTTCAGGGTTTTGCTGAAATGGCTCTATATTCTGCTCAAATGACAGCAAGTGTCAAAATTGCCCTCCTGCTCTACAGTGTGTCATTAAATCTAATTAGATCCAAACCCCAAAGTAAGGGCCAATTTATAGTCCATGGTCCGGTAGCCTCGCCCTCTCCCCAGACGACAGAGTCCGCTGTGCACCTCTCGGCTGGCACATTCCTGGGAGCCTGGGGTCCTCGGAAGGGGGGCATTCCTCCTCCAGGCTGTGACCTCACCACTGTTCTCTTATCATTGGCTCTCAACCTTCAAAAACCCCTCTCATCCTCCTTCTTCTGGGCCCTCATTACACCCCGTTTGTCTGGCCACTGGAGAGTGGTATGTTCAGACAAGTAATGTTCTCGGGCATTCTGTAACCAACTTCGATGTCGGTAAATAGCCCACAGGGTGATTCGGGAATGACACTCTTCACCTCCCTGTCCTAGCGACACCCTCCCTCCACCTCACAGCACCAACGGGGAGAGAAAATTCCAATTGCATGTATTCATATTTTAATGAATGCATATTGGTGGAAGTGAAGAATGCTTATGGGTGGGCAGGGCTTATGGACAAAACACAAGGTAAAAATTCAGAGCGGCCTCTAGCGTGGCAGGTGACACTGCTTTTCACACCCTGGGGGTCTCCTTTGCACTATGGCTCCAGGGGCCACCTCTGACGTAAAGACTTCCCACTCTGCCTCTCCATGCTGACCTCTCTCCTGAGTCCCAAAGAGTATCGTCAGTGAACATTTCTACCTGGATGACCCACTGTCACAACAAAGTCAACATGTTGAAAACAAAACTCAGGATCTTGGCTCAAAGCCTGCCCCTCCCCAGGTGTCCCACCCCAAGGAAGTTCACCCGCATAAATCCAGTCACTTGAGCCGGGAGCCTGGGAGCACTTCCTGACCCTCACCCTCCGTGTCCTGCCCGTCCTGCCGCCTCCACATCCCCTGACCCCTTTAACCTCTCCCACCCCCACTGCCACTGTCCTTGTCCCCGTCACCCTGTGCCCTGCGCAGGGCACTTCACTGCTCTCTCGCTTGGCTCCTTGCCTTTACCCTGGCCCCCTTCAGTCCACCTGACCCCAGCACCCACAGCGAGCCTTCGGAATGTAAATCCATCATGTCCCACTTTGGGTAAAAACTCTCAGGAGCACTCCGTTGTCCTTGGGTTAAAGTTTCAATGCCCTCACCTGTCCCACAAGGCCTTGCACGTCTTGGCTTCTGCCCACCTCTCCGCCTCACCTCCTGCCACGCTCCCCTTTGAATGCTTCATTCCAGCCAGGTTACACACTTTTCTTTATGCTGCTCACATATCAGAGTTTTGCTGGTTTCCTGGCTTTGCATATCTGGCCTCCTTCTTCCTCTCGTTACTGGAACATAAAGCACGTACAGAGAATTGCACGCCACATGTATAGCTCAGGGAATGGTCTCAAAATGAACACACCCATATAATCTAGGCCCAGACCAAGACCTGAAGAGGACTGGTATTCCAGAAGTCTCCCTCATGCCCCTTCTAACTATTCACCAAGGGAAATCACTACCCTGACTTCTAATAACATAGACTGGGTTTTCCCACTTTCTACTTTATGTAATTAGAACCTTCCGAATTGTGTCAAGTGTCTACTACCGCAAAACAAACCACCCATAAACTTCACAGCTTAAAATAACCTTAAAGTCCCACCTCGGGCTCATCACTCCTTGCAGCCATGCTCTTTCGTCCGCTTTGCCACCAAGTTTCTTTAACTCTGGCCACACTCCATGTCCGTCTGCCCTCGCCCCCCATTCGCTCCGCGATCGCGGTTCTGTCCTGTGGTTCTGCTGAAGCAGCTCTCATCAGAGGGCGCCCCTTACCTCCTTCGTGCTGAGCCAAGTGCACTGTTTTCAGTCTTTTCCTCCTTGACCCCCTCCCCCCAATTCAGTGAGTCCCCAAGTCCTAGTGATTCTCCCCCTTTCGCCAGTCACATATTTGTCCTACGCTCAGTATCGCCTGCCTGGACGAATCCAGCTGCCTCAAGGATACCTCCCTGCCCCATTCCGACAGGGTTTCCGCGGCTAACAAATCTGGACAGGCTCGCCGCTCCCCATAGGATAAAACCCAAAACTGTAGCAAGGCAGGAAGGCCCTAAACCCGTGCCCGGCTGCCTTTCCGGGCTCTTGGCCCGCCCCACGCCTGCGCAGTGGCCACACTGGCTCCGCGGTCCCATGAACACGCCCCGGGGGGTCTGCTGGGAGGTTCTCTCTTACCTAGGACGCCCTTCGCCCCCTTCTGCCTCCAGATCTACTTACCCTCTCTGTCCTATCTCCGAAGCCACCTCTGTAAAACTGGGCTGTTAACAGCTCCTTTCTGATCCTGTTTGCTGCTATCGATATTAATAGCACTCATTATCATTACTATATATTTGGCTCACTCCCTCTAGAACATAAGCTCCTCAGGGCAGGATCTTTATTTTGTTCTGATATATCCCAAGCTCCCACAACTGTGCCTAACACATTTAGGCACTCAATAAACACAGGCTAAGTGAATGGAAGGGTAACATTAACTGAGCCCTTATTTGCCAGGTGCTTTTCATGCAGGATCTCCTTCCCACCTCACCGTAGCCCAGTGAGGAAGGAACTCCGTTTTTATCCCAGTTCAGCAAGGGAAGAAACTGACGCATAATGAGATTAATGAGACCTAATGGCATGCCCAAGGCCACCCAGCTGATAGATGGCAAAAGCTAGGACTTGAACCCTAATGTGTCCAAGCTCTAAATAACCTCATTCTACCATCGTGAGCTTTGTCTGCAGTGGTGCTTTGCAAAATCTCTCCTCTCCTGGAGGTTACAGCAGGTCTTCAGCAAATGGAACAGGTACCTAGAAGTAGCGGAGGTATCTCTTTACATATTAATCTCCTCATTATAGTATGAGTTCTCAGAGAATAGGAAGTGAATTCTAATTATTTTATTTCTCCACCACCACTACCCAAAACTCTATGCAGCCAGCATGGTGTCTTACATGTTTGCGTTCATTAGATGTTTGCTGAATGAAATAACAGGCGTGCTGTTAAGAGGCGGCATTTGGCAGTGAGTCCTTCTTGTCCAGTTAGTAATTCTGAGCACTGTCCTGACCGTCGCCCTGAACCTAGCCCCAGCTGCTGCCTCTTCTAGCTGGGTGCTTCTTCAGCACGAGAGAGGCTCCTGGCCATCCCTGGCTGGCCCCCCTGTCCCCCCTGACCCCAGCCCTTTGCCATCCTTCCTGTCATCATGAAATCCCCTGCCTGCCTTCCTGCTGTCAGTGGCCTGATCACACAGAACGAGTTCTGCCCACCCCTCTCCTCTTCTCCACCCCACACCCTGCTGGAACCTGGCTGCTTCCCGGGTCATTCTTGACAGGCAGGGCAACATGACATTTATGTAGATAATTGGAACACAGTTGGATTGTAATAAACAAAGAGTCACGAGGCAGGCCAGGAGTTATGAAGCAGGAGAAATTCCTTGTTAAATGATAGAGGAACTGAAAATGCATGAAGTCACTGTCTTTTTCATCCTGACATATTTTTTTTTTTAAATAAGGAGCTTAGCTTCTCTCAGTTTGTCAATTATTTAGAATTGTTGATTGCAAGCAATAGAAGATGGAGTGGTTTAAGCTGAAAGGGGAAATTTATCATAAGGATACAGAACCTCTAGGAGCCCAAAGTTTGGAATGCAGCCAGGCCTCAGGGAGAAATGGAAGCAGCTCCAGGAAGATAGTCCAGGATCTGGGCAGCATCCTCTTTCCATGTCTTGTCCTCTCTGTCTCTGTACATCTGCCTCATTCTCATCATCTCTCTGTAGACCACTGGCCCCCATACGTCGTCATGGTGTACGGCTGCCCGTGGCTGGCTACTGAATGTGTATTTGGCGCGACCGCCTAGCTCCAGCAAACCCGCCAGTCCCCAGGGAAATCTACCTGCTCGGCTAGCACAAGCCAGGTCCCCACGCTTGGCCCAATCACCTGCCACCAGCAGAGCAGGTGCTGTTGTTCAACATGGCAGCCAAATGCCCGTTTCTGTGGGGGAGAAAGAAGCAGAAAGGATCCTTGTGAGTTGAGCAATCGTCTGATAATGCTCTTATAAAAGAATTCTGGGTGCTTCCCCAGAAATAGGACACATCAAGAGACATCTTATCTTTGAGAGTCTTTTTCAGACACAAATACATAAAAATGAATTGCCATGTAGGAAACCTCACCTCAAGTAACTAAGACAATAGTCCACTGGTAGTTCCTAACAGGTTTTTATGCCGGTTCTGTTCACTGAAGGCTTAGCATCCTGGCTTCGACCAGGAGCCTCACACACATCTAGATGGCCCACTGGACGGCAGCACTTGAGGTAAAGCAGACTGGGCAGCGCTTGCTCCTCCAGGTCTTACACAAACGATGCCCACACCTCCCCTTCAGCCGCCAGAGTTCCTGCCTCTTTCTAGTAAGGCAGCGTAGTCAGGTCTGGGGAGACAGAATCCCCTCCCTTTGAGGGTTCCACACTCTGACAAATTCTGAGAGCCCTAACGTGGGTCACTGCTTCCTTGATGTGGTTTGAGGGCCGGTGAGAGGGAGCTAGGACAGATCCTTCTTCGGTTCTGAGCTGGCCTTGCCCACTCAGTGATCCACCAATGCAAGGCTGGGTAGGGGTAAACGGAAACGTTTATCCAGCTCAGAAGTGGGAGCACTAGAGTTAAGTTGCCGACGGCAGGTCCAAAGTTTCACATCCATCTTTCCTGGACTTGGCCCTGTGGGCACGGCTACACTCGCTGGGGCCGGTGCCTGGGGCCGACAGACCCTGCCTGGGCCCCAGAACAGGTGGCTCAGCCCCAGGCCGTGGTGACGAGGGGCCGGGCGCCCATCTGAGGCCCACCGTATTCGGCCCACACCTTCTCAGTGTCCCCTCCCCTGCTTGTCTTCCAGGCTCCCCAGGGACAGCAGGCCGCGTGTGCAACCTGACTTCCCGCGGCATGGACAGCTGCGAAGTCATGTGCTGCGGGAGAGGCTACGACACCTCGCGCGTCACCCGGATGACCAAGTGCGAGTGTAAGTTCCACTGGTGCTGTGCCGTGCGCTGTCAGGACTGTCTGGAGGCCCTGGACGTGCACACGTGCAAGGCCCCCAAGAGTGCTGACTGGGCGGCTCCCACATGACGTCGGCGGAAGGCCCCGCCCACCTGCCCTCCTGTGGGGACTCCGTGGGATCCGGCCCGGACCCTGGCCCTCCGGGCTTTCTCGGGGAGATATTTCCTAAGGCATGTGACCTTTGTCTCAACAGAAGCCCCTTCTCCCTCCGCAGGGGCCTCAGGACGGGGGCCACATGCTGCACATAAAGCATGCCTTATCCTCCCTGACTTCCAGCATTCTGGGAGCACGTCTCTTCCTGATCAGGACAGATTGCTAAGAGGGGAAGGGGGGCGGGGGGTGGGGGGCTGATCCCGTCTCCACCCACCTAGATGTTTCCTCTTTCAGGAGCACTTAGCCAGAGGGGAAAAGAGTGTCCCAAAGGAGCTTGTTTTGTGGTCTCACAATAAATGCTCACAGTTACAAAATTCTATACTTCTCTCTGGAGGGTAAAGACAGCAGGACCAACTGCCACTGAATTAACTTTAAATCTTGAAAAGACCAAGCAAGGCTTTTGCCTGATCAAGTGATTTTCACAGCCACCCCCTCCAGGGGTAATTGGTAATTGCTTGGAGAAGGATGGCTTTCAATGAACTTTAGGTTTAAAATGCATATTTTTCAAGACGTTTATTGCCATATTAACGTTTGATGTGACAAGATGGAACCGTTGTCCTTTGGTACAGTTTGGAATCTTTACAATAGCAAGAGCCTCAGAAAGGAATTGCTTTGCATTACTGTCCTCTTGATATAAAGAAGCTTTAAGAAATGAGACTTCCTTCTTAGCATCTGAAAGGAATTTAAAAGAAGATTGATGATCTGGCAGTATTTTGTGCCTATTGGGGGAAGATAGAGGAAAATAACTTAGTGAGTGGAATATCAGAAAATGTGTCTTGACAGATAAGGAAAAAAGGGGGAATAAAATTCCTATCTGGTATGATGCATGTGACCCATGGAATTTTGTAGTTGAAATGGCTTTGAGAAAGAAAACTTTGGGGATGACCAGACCAGGGAATCAGCATGCTGACAGAGGTTTCCAGAGCTAAGTCATGCCTGGACAACCTTCACCATAAACAGATGCCCAGAACGAGTTGGCTACGTGTGCCAAGGAGCATCAGCTTGTACCCATCACCCTTCAAGCACGTTCGAAAGAGCTGTCATATTGAACTGTGTTCATCTGATGCTGACAAGATGACAAGACATCATAGCCTAGAGCAAATGACACATAGCCTTGCTTATAAAGTTGGCAACCCTAGTGTATTATATTGCAAGCAAATCGTCATTTGGAGACTATATTTAAGGGACCAGCTGTAATTATGGGAACATCAACGTGCAGATTGTGGCTGGCTTCAGCCATGAGCCGGAAGATGAAATCCAGGGAAAATAGAGAGGCTGCTGCCCCATTTTGTATATTAAGTGAAAGAAAGATGAAATATCTGAAGATACTTCTCATCCCATTGGTACAAGTAGGTTCTGGTTCTCAGTGTGGTCTCTTCACATTTACTAACAGGATGTTCCATTCTATGCATCTGCTGTCCAGCGATCGAGGCTCACTCATTCATTGACAGCCTGGCCTTCAGTTTCTTGGTCCTTGCTCTGCAGCAGGACATCTAGACTGAAGCTCACGAACAACCTGCTGCAGTACTTTGTCAGAATTGATGCTTGCCTCCCAGCCCTCATCAAAATGACAGAATTCATCTCCTTTCCTTCACTCCCAAACCCCCAAATTTGTCATCTGATTTTCCAAAGTAACTCTTTCCTCTTTTTATTCTATGGATTCAGAGGATGGGAAGAGTGAAGCAGGGCAGAGTTGCTCTGAGCTCAGTGTGGGCCTTTGAGGGCGAGTGGGAAGGCTGGGCAGGTGGGCTGTCTTAGTTACATTCAGGTGCCTGTGGATGCTTTTCTGGCAGGGATGAGGGGACTTGCACGGTGGTCCCACAGCCATCAGCCCTTCTCCCTGCTGGATGAACTATGAAATCATAAATCCATGGGTGTATTTAGAAATGGAAAGGATCTAAGAGGACATCTCAGCTCCCTCCAGTTTGTATCTGAGGAAGCTGAGACCAAGAGGGGTGAAGGCCTCTGTGCACTTATCTGCCATTGCCCCCAATCTCCACTGCAAACAGAGGAGTCAGGAAAGTCAAGCACTTTATCTAGTTTGTCTCAGAATTAACCCAAGCGGATTCTAAGTCATTTTAGCATTCAAAGGGGATGGTCATGATTTCTTTTAATTGCTGGGATGTTTTGATCTGACTTTCATTTCATGCCGAGATGCATCCTTCTTGATAAGGAGCAAGGGCATAAGGCATATCCATATAGAAACCTGCCTACATTTTCCAAGTCTGTAAGGGAGACTGTGACAGCCCTCTCAAGTGGCAGTGGGTGTGGCCATGATAGAGGGAGTAATAAGAGAATGAAGTATTTTTATCTGCTTTTACTTCTGAAAGAGGAAATCTCCGCTATTGGAAAAAAAATTAAAAACCAGTTGAAGATCAATTCAAACTCATTTTCTTTAGGGTTTGGGGGAAGATCAATATGCCATGATTCTAAGGTAGACTGAACTCTGGATTACCTGAGGCTTTTAAGGGAATGTATGGCACAAATTACCCAAAACAAAGTAAAAGAACCCATTCAGTTCAGATCCCTTACAAGTTCCCTCTCAGTGAAAATCTTATGATAAAACCAAGTTTTCTAGGCCCAAGAGGATGCCCATTAATGTTCGGCAATGTCTGAAAAAGTTCCAACACCATAGGAGATCTTGACTAACTCAATGGGGTTTTCTACATTTCTACATATCTTTCTAAAGATACCATCTGCACATGACACTGAGTCTTAGCAAATGAGTTGTCTTCTTCAATAAATGTGCCTCCCCACATTGGTCTGCGCTTTGGAAGACTGGACCGGACTGACTTTTGTATTCTGTGAGCGTGCTTTGTCAGGGTGTATCCCGGTTACACCTCGGACAGCCTCTCCCATCCAAGCTCCAGCACAAAAGCCCCAAGTGCGGTGACCACGATCAGCCGTGGCTCCTTGCCCCTCCAGGATGGAGGCCCTGGCATAATACGGATATCACCAGACTGAAAGGAACATCCCTGAAGGATCTATCAAATGGCAATATATTCCGTATGGGGCCGGATGATGGGAAAAGAATTGAGAGGGAAAGAACCAGGTGATTGTTGCCAAGTGACTGGCTGAGCTTGGTGATGGTGCAGAGTGGCTTTTTCAGCTCTTGTGGGTACCCGCCGCCCCTCCTTCTGCTGTTGTTCCCCTGTCCCTTCCCAGCACCTTCTCCCCGAGGCATCGGGAGGCCTAGAGGTGCAGGGCCTCGGGCCATTGCTCACATTCTCCGCGCCTGTCGTGTAGCTGTGCGCGAGGCTGCCAAGGTTCATTTCAAGAGACGTTCTCGATTGTCATAACCGTATTCCTTTCCATCAGAGTTATCACGAAGCTCGAAAACATCAGGTATCACGTTTCTTTTTCAAAGAAAGTAGCTTTAAAGTCAGAAAATCTAGCTTCACATTGACATTTCTCAGCGTGATTAATTTATTAAGGAATCTTACATCAGCTCGACAAAACCTAAAGCAGGGCTCCCTCAGAGGCAGCCAACATGACGGTGCACGCACTTGTCCTCGATGGCATTTTCAGGCCAAGATATTGTTATTACTTCTCATTTATTAAAGGCTGGCCTGGGGCTGGTGTGGTCTCGCTCAGCTGAAGAACATTCATCTCCCCTCTTGCCTGCTCTCCAAATAAAGGCTCAGAGCGGTGTCCAATCGACCAGAACCATTCTTTTGTGTCTATTTACTGTACTTCAACCTGGGTTTCCTTGTCTTAAGAGAAAGAAGTGTACTCTTAACAAATAAACCTCGCCAGTTCCAAAGCTGGTGAATTGCTTTTGTCAGGTCTGTACTGACCTTCCGAAAAAGAATCCACTGGTATAAATAAGCTCACAAAGGCGTGCTTATTTTGACCTTCTCCTTACCTAGGCAGAGAAAATTTTCATTCATCCATGAGAATGTTCTTTACATTTTTAAGGGGATCAGCAAGGTGACAGGTGGTTTGCAAAGCCCAACATGATTATTATTTTTCTAAATCATAGTTGTTCCAACTCTAGTTTTTTTCCCCTGATATTCACATGATTCCTGTTTAACCAAACCTCCCACTTCCATGAGCTAATAAAAGTGTCACGCAGATTGTTACAAAGAACTATTGTTATTTACAAGTCTACATTTTCTGTGAAATCAAAACATAATAAAGTGAATTTCCAGTGTTGACTTTGTTATTTTAAACGTGTGATAGTCTTGCCAAACCCTCTAGTGGAAAGAAATCCCTGCAGGTTATGGGAATTATTCCCTTGTCTTCTCTCAGGAATACACTTCTTACACAACCTTATCAAGAGGTGGCTTTCAAGTTTGTAAAGATTTTCAGGGAAGACAGTGGGCTTACCTTACTAAAAAACACTCTTGTGAGCTCACGGGTAAGGCTTATATTCCTGATTGAAAAATTATTCCCACATTTTCACCCTGTGTTGCCATTTTCGTGCTTACCCCCTCTAGGTGCCAGCATGCTTTGGCTGTGTTTATAAATTCAGTGTCTCTCCACAGCAGCCAGACCCACCCCCACTGACCTCTCCGAATTATTACTTTCCATGTATAGTGCTTGCTTTTGGCTAAAATGGTATTTTTTCAGCTTGAATAGAAACATACAAGATCCCGTGCCCCTTTATTGAGATCTGTGTATCCTGATTGTGGGTGCTACTTATATACAGGTAGGGAAAGCTCAGAAAATGGAAATAAACTCTCCCCCAGCAAAGGAAATCCACCCAACATTTGCTCTTCCCTGAGAAACTGTTTTGGGGTAACCTAAGCAAAGTGCTGACTCTGCACATCAAGTACCCCAAGGTGGCCTGATTGTCAGGCTGCTTGCTGTCCCTCTAGGATGATTTGCAGAAGAGGTGATGATACATGTGTCTACATGTGTTTTTCAAAGACCATTTTCCCCAAATATATTTGCCCAATCATTATCAATGAAACAGCCCTATTCACTAACCCTTTGGGTGAGAGGACTGTCCTACACTTTGTACGATCTTTCGAAGCAAGCCTGTCTCTACACACTAGATGTCAGAGGTACTCTCCTGCTTCCCAGCCCTGACAACCAAAAGTGTCCCAGATATTGCCAGATGTTCTCAGTGAGGGGTGGAGGAAGCAAGGTGTAAGACAAAACCATTCCCAGTTGAGAACCACTGATGTTAACACTTTGGGTCAAGTCCTCTATCGAAATGCAATCCGAATACATTTCTGCCATTTTCAGTTAGGAACACTTCACTGGGAGGGATAGTTTAATGGGATTAAATCTTGGTATTAATGCATCAGACTAACTGGGAAGGAATCTTTTGGAATGGGTGTATCATAGAACCCCTCAGCAGCCTGGGGCAGAACAAGACAGGCTGAGACCTGAAGTTCACTGCATGTCCTGGGAGGGTAGAAAGCACCAGGCTCCTGGGTTTCTATGGATGGGCATTAACTGTAGGGAATCAAAGGAAGGATGGAAGCTTAGCAAGGAAAAGCAATAGTGTGGTTTCAGAAGCTGGAGACACAAATCTTCTTAGGAACTCCTCAGTTTCACAACACTTAGTGGGAAAGAAAAGCCCCAAGATAAGGCCTGGAAGGTGGAAGAGTGAGACTGTTATAGATCTGCATAAAATAGTTGAGTAATTTTGAGTTTCTCAGGACAGAGAGGAGGGTCATAAGAAAGAGGAGGCACCAAAACATGGAGAAAGACTGAGTTTCAGGCAAAAAAAAAGAATCTCCAGTTTAAGGCCAGGGTGGGTATCATTTGCAGGTTGATCATTCAACACCCCCCCCAAAACACACACACAGACACACAGACACACACTGCCAGTTGTCCCTGCTGCAGGTAACCTTAGCCTCGTATGG